GTTCGCTCAGGTACATCTGAATGCTGCCATGAAATCTGAATACATGTTGAAAGGTATGATAGGTAGCATTTCAGCACTGCACATATGTTATATTGTGTTTTCACTGTGGTGAGGATGGTCCGTCCATCCTTCGTGCATGCACATAAATCTATGTATATTTACATTTATATGTATATCCCAGGTTTGTTTTGAGAGACCGCTCTGGATGATTCTGCTCCTTGTGATAACCTCTTTGAACGATACATACTAAAGCAATCCTCTCTGTATTCTATTGCACTGCTCACCTGTGTGTGTGTGTGTGTGTGTGTGTGTGTCAGATGGGGTATGACGGCTTCTTCTTCGGGCGTCTGGATTACCAAGACAGATCTCAGAGGATGAGGACTAAGGAGCAGGAGCTTCTGTGGAGGGCCTCCGAGAGCCTCACCCCCCCCATGGCCGACCTCTTCACCGGTAACACAACATTTCATTTTTTTTCGTTTGTGACTCAGTCTGTCACTTTCGTTTAATCTCACCTTCCTTCCCCCAACAGGGATCCTTCCCAACGGGTACAACCCCCCGACCGGCTTCTGCTGGGATCAGTCCTGTGACGATCCACCAATCAGAGACGACCCTGAGCTGGAGGACTACAACGTGGACGATGTGGTGAACCGCTTCGTCGCCATCGCCAACAGTCAGGTCAGAAACATCACTTCATTTGACAGTTGTTTTAAACCATTACTGAGGTCATAAATCAAGTGAGGACTAGCGACATGTTTTCATAGACTTCCATAAAATCTGACCACCTGCTGGCCATTAGAGGTACTGCAGCTTTAAGGCATTTCCGCATTACGGTACGTCCACATGGTTCCGAAGCTTGCCGGTGGGCGTGTCTGGCGCGTGACGAACAACCAATCACATTAATCTCCCGCCCCGGACACACAAGCACGCGTTTGATTGGCTAGCGCTTGTACTGGCATATGATTTGATTGGCTAACGCTTGTACTGGCATATGATTTGATTGGCTGGCGCTTCCGTCAACACTTGAAAAGTTGAACTCTTCTCAAAGCGACGCGACGGAACCACAATGCAGTTCGGCAAAGCGTGACGTCACCCCATTCAAAGTGAATGGGAAGCGTCTCCGTTGAAGCCCGCGACGGAACCGTGTGGACGTTACGTTAGGTGAACTTTTCAGACCTTTGGGACAAACCTTGATCTTATTATTTTTGTACAATTTTCATTAAATTAGCCTCAGTTTTATTGTGAATCATGTCATATTATTTGTTGTTCTAATAAATATATCTAATCTTTAATTTCCTTTATAAAACTATTCCGTAGATTAGTCCCTTTGACGGTTTGATAACTTTGCTTTCCCTTTTCTTTGAAACGTTTGTCTTGTAAACCTGCACATTCTAGTATACGTATAAACTAAACTCTTATTGGAAGACGCTTTGGATTAAAGTAAAAATGTATAATGTTGCCGTTCCCCTCCCTCAGTCTCTGGTGTATAAGACGAACCACATCATCATGACCATGGGCTCAGACTTCCAGTACGAGAACGCCAACCTGTGGTACAAGAACCTGGACAAGCTGATCCGCTACGTGAACGCTGAGCAGGCGGACGGAGGGAAGGTCAACGTGCTTTACTCCACGCCGTCATGCTACCTGCAGGAGCTGCACCGAGCCAACAGCACCTGGTAACGTGCTCTTTAAATCTGCTCTGTGGATTTATAACTGTGGAGGAAATTCTTAAGAGAAACCGATCAATGATTCAAGTTTGTCTTTTGTTATATTTAGTCAATATACAAGTGGCATCGATCCTTAATGCAGGAACAGAGCAGCTTCATCCTCAGAGGATAGAGAAGTTCGGCACCCCGAACACAGCTCACAGAAACACTATATAGTAGAGAGAAAAGCCAACTAGTCCCACCCTTAAATTCTCTTAAGGCCCGGACACCAATCTGACCCCAAAGAACTCACACAGACGGACCCGTCGCACTGGAACACACCGCAAAGACTTCAGCCGACGGCCAAGTAGCACGTACGAACTGTGCATGAGTGAGTGGCAATAACTCTCCTGACCAGCAGGCGGCGGTAGTGTGTATTCATCATTCAAAAGAGGCAACAACCGGAAGACAGACTGCGTGATAACCGAGAGAAGAAGAACAGACTGCGTGATATAAACAAACAACAAATAGCGTGTTCCATGTTCACTCTACAGCGAGAAGCTCATGGGGCTTTCCCCAACCTGTATCGAGAGCTGGAGTTAAAGGAAATCTCAGATTGGTCTTCTTAATCGTTTGTTTGGGTCCCTCACTTCCGTTTCGCTTCTTGTGCACTGATTCGCTAGCTGAACAGCCAATCAGAGTGATTTCTTTGACCGACAGCCATTGGCCGACTGCCTACAGATTCGGCAATCGGTAAGCAGTCGGCCAAAAAGGTGTTGGCACGGCCGAAAAGACACGATGGTCATCGACGGCCTGAATCGGCTTGGTGTGTCAGGGCCTTTAGACGTCATCTAACATCGCACCATTAAACCCCCTCGTCCTTAACCATTTGCAAATCCACCTTTTACTTCCTTCACCCTCCTGAAATGTAAATCCTTAACATATGACTCTAAACACATACAAGAATACACAACAAATACAATTGAACAGAGTAAAAGGCAACCAGAGTATAAGACTATATGTTTGAAGTGATTATCTGATCATTTGACACGACAGAAACAATTGGAAGTGCAAGAATTGACACACAAAGTTAGATAAAGACAAAAGAAAAGACATTATGAGTGAGATAAGGGATGGAAAATACATGCATGACCAAACAGGAAGTAAAAGTCGGAGCCTCCCCTCAGAGGGAAGAATCCAATCAATCTGAGTGTTTGATCATTTGACACGACACTAACCATAATGACAGCTTAATCAAAGAGTGATCTCACGTCCTCTTTTCCCCCCAGGGCTCTGAAGACGGATGATTTCTTCCCGTACGCTGACGCCGCTCACGATTTCTGGACCGGATACTTCACCAGCCGCCCGGCGCTGAAACGATACGAGAGGATCAGCAACAGCAACCTGCAGGTAGAGAGGGGTTCATCCATTCATTTGCATTGAAAGTAAAAAGCAATATTAACACATTCTCATTAAAAAAGTTTCATTTAGACATCATGCAAATGTCTACATCTCCGAATGGTGAAAGTGAAGCTTAGAAAGCAAAATAATGACCTCAAAGTATTCGGAATAGAGCTTTACGATTACTATTATACTTGAACAATAAATGGGATTCCGGTATCTCTCATTATAGCTCAGGATCTGTATACAGTGGTGTCTTACAAGTTGACATACAGT